ATGCAACAACTGTCAGTAAGTAAAAAAGCAATATCTACTTCTATTATGTTAATAAGAAACCCACTCCATATATAAAGAAATAGACACTATAAACATAAAAGCATGGAAAAAGATATGCCATGCAAACACCAATCAAAAGAACACTAGAATCACCATATTAACATCAGACAGAGCAGATGTCACAACACAGCATCCTATCACACATAATGAAAAAAGGTCAATTCACCAACAAGATGAAATAATTCTGAGTGTGTACCTAACAGCGATGCTCCAGAGTACATCAGACAACTGATGGAATTCAAAGGAGAAAGAGTGTATCTTAAAATTCTTGTTTCATTAATTAAGAGAACAAATGGCAGAAAGTAAGTAGAAATATACAACCTTTAAACAACAGTTTCCATCAACTTGACCCAATGAGCACTTACAGGATATCCACAGAGCAGCAGAACACAGTCTGCACCCGGAGAGAGCACGTGCCAGGTCATGGCACGAGTCCCAACTTGCACCAAAGGACTGAGATAAAACATAACGCGTTTGACGAACATAACATGGTTGAATAACAACTAAATTACAAAGGACATCAGGAAAATCCCCGACTACAAGGTAAGTAAACAATGTTTCCAAGTAAACAAAGGATGAGAAGAAATCCCAAAGGACCTAGAAAACATTTAACAAAAACATAATAAAAATATAGTATGTAAAATTTGTGTGATACAGGTTAAGTAACACTTAGGTGTGTTACAGCTAAAGGCTTATAACAGAAAACAGCAACGTAAAAATCAAGTTTACTTCCACTTTAAGAAGGTAACAAAGAATAAAAAACTGAACACAAACTAAGTGAGAATGAAGGGAATAAATATCAGAAAGAAATAAGTAATACAGAAAATAAACCAACAATAAAGATAATCAAAGACACCAAAAGCAAGTTCTTTGAAATATGACTAAAATCGATGAGCCTCTGATGAGACCGGACTGACTAGGAAGAAAAGATATAAATTACCAATACTGACGATGCAAGGGGGATCCTACAACCACTAAAAAATAGTGTAACAGAAGGGAAAAATGGGTGATGGGCATTGAGGAGGACACTTGTTGGGATGAGCACTGAGTGTTGTATGTAAGCCAACTTGACAATAAATTGTGTTTTTAAAAATAATAAAAATTAAAAAAATAAAAAATAGTAACAGATTATGAATTTTATACCATTAAATTTGGCCACTTATATGGAACAGATAATTCTTCAACAAACATAAATTTCCAATGAATAATAAATCTGATTAACTCTACTATCTACTTTAGAAATTCAATTCATAATTACCTCCCCACCAAGTAAACTTGTAGCTCAGATAGTTTCAAGGCTGAATATGTCCAATAGTAAAAACGAATGACACCAATCTTACACCAACTACTTCCAACAAATACAGGAGGCAAAAAGACTTCCCAACTCAACTTATGAGGCCAGCTCACCCCTAGGTAACAAACCAAAGGCATTACAACAAAAGCAAAACAAAATACAAATGTTTCCAGTCCATGTCAATCATCGTGTTAACAGATAACAAAGAAAAACCATATGATCATGTCAACAGACAGAAAAGCTTCTGAAAAATCCAATACCCATTCATAATAAAACGTCTCAGGACGTTCTAGGAATAGAAAGAATTTCCACAGCCCGATAAGGGGAATCTTAAAAAAGCCTACAACTACCATCACAAATGATGTTAAGAAGCTACGTGTTCCCCAAGAACGGAAAGAAGAACGGTTTCATCACTTCCGTTCAACAATGCAATTAGCGACCGCAGCCAGTGTGATACTGCGAGTAAAAGAAAGAGAAGGCCGTACATGCACACTTGCATAAAAGAGCTATAGTGTCTTCTTTGCACATGGCGTGATCAGGTAGAAAGAACATTCTAGGGGATGACACAAAAGTCACTAAAAAGGCACGCACAGACATTTCGCCAAAGAGGATACGGAGATGGAAAACGGGCACATGAAACAATGTTCCAGGTTACTAGCCGTTACGGAAATGCAAACTACAATGAGGTGTCACAGCACACTTACGGAAATGACTAAAGTAAAAAAATAAGAAAAATAAATCACCCCACCAAATATTAGCAAGGCTGTGGAGAAACCGCAGCAATCATGCACGGCCGGTGGGGGCGTTTGATGGCACAGCCACTGAAAAGCAGGCTGGCGGGTTCTGCATGCACACTTTCCCACACATCCCTGACTTGTGACTTAATGACTTCCTAGCTTCCCATTTGTGCCTGCCCCCTGTGGAGTGGGCAAAGCTCACTCCATATCCTACGGAATTTAAATAAACCATCCCAGAACACTGAGAATTAACAGACTGGAAACAAATCATCCGAGTGGTGTGCCACCTGGCACTGACTGAGAAACTGATCCAGAACAGTAGTCTCGACAATTTTCCAACACAACTTCTGACCCGGGGAATGATGGAGACCACAAGATGTACTGAGATGATACCAGAGATCTAAGAATATTTCCGTGTCTAAACAGGGAAGAATTAAAAACAGGACACACTTTGCATACATCTGGTTTCATCAATTCAATACTACACGCACATGAGTGCATATAAAATTCTGACTGGCAAACACCAACACAAAAATGGGCAGGAGAGAAGGGCCAACAACGAAATAAAGACAAATTTCTAGTGAATACGTGGTGTAAATTTCCAACTGAATTAGTATCCAAAGACGTACAAATTAAAACAATGAACTGTCCAGGGGCGCCTGGGTGGCGCAGTCGGTTGGCGTCCGACTTCAGCCAGGTCACGATCCCGCGGTCCTTGAGTTCGAGCCCCGCGTCGGGCTCTGGGCTGATGGCTCAGAGCCTGGAGCCTGTTTCCGATTCTGTGTCTCCCTCTCTCTCTGCCCCTCCCCCGTTCATGCTCTGTCTCTCTCTGTCCCAAAAATAAATAAACGTTGAAAAAAAAAAATTTAAAAAA